GATCATTTTTCCAGTGTAACTGAAAAAACAGGTATGTTTGCTTTACAGTTGAATTTAACTGAATAAGTTTCAAATTAAATGTGTGGGAACTCCTTAAATGAATTTTCATAGTCCGATTATTGCATCACAACTCCCTCCACCCCCTGTCCTGTTCTTGCTCAGTCTGTTGTTTTTGAAACTTATCTAAACCGTTTCTTCAGAGCACAGTTAACAGATATTACCACCATCTACCTTTGTTTCTAAGCAATCCTAAAGGTTCATCAACCTGCAACTGAACCTCAGAGTAAAATGACAGTGCAGTAATAACTTAGGGAAGTGACAGAGTTTCTACCTCCTGGTTTATATTGAGTCCCCTTCCTTTCTCGTGTTGTCTATCATCGCGTCGCAGCTTCATCTCAAAACCCTCGACTTGGTGGAAGACTCGGTCGTAGGTGGACACGACGGGAACCTGCAGAAGTATTTGATCATTAACTTTTCCACATATTTTATTATTCAAATGCTTTAAACAAGGGATCACAGCAACAGCCCTTCAGAGAAAATCATCAGCTCACCTAGTTTTAAGGCTCATAATTATCACATGTGCTCTAAAAGGGCTGAAGTTGCTCTATTAGTCTAATAAGGAGACTTCTTGTTCAAAAAGACTGTCAAGATTGCCTCGAATCATTGTCTTTATTTGTGGGCAAATGGTTGTCATAGAAGCAAAAACAAAAAAAAGGATAATTTGCATGAATGGCAACACATGTAAAAGATCCGTTGCTAAGAAACGTGCACCTGAAGGAGCAGCTTCCGGATCGTCAGGAATGGAGTCTCCATGAAGCTTTAGGATCCTCTTTTTATAAGGAAAGCTCCCCACCAGCGCAGAGCTTGCTCTCAGCACCATAGGGTGAGTGTCCATCTACTTCCAAACCAAGCAAGGCAAATGTTTTTTAAGACATCTCAGAAAAGAAAAGATGGCCTAAGCTTGTGACAGCATTGAAAATATCTGATCCGACTTATCTGATGAGTCGCTGCCATGGCTAAAGTGTGGGATGGAAATGTTGCAAAACAGGCAGTTTTGTTCTAATCAATGTTCTCTGCACCATGATGGAGCACCGGGGCCACAAGGCAAAAACAGACAACAAAGCAGCACCGGGATCATATTACTGAAAATGTCTGAACCACGGCGAGGAAAATCACTGGATTTTAACCACACTGAGGACATTTAGTTCCTCCAAAAAAAGCAGACAGATAAGCAAATTTCAAGCACTAACTGGAAATGAAGGGAATCCATCTAACAGGATTGGATAAAATATTTGGCATCTAAGCAGGCAGGCATGGAGTAAAAGGCAGAATTGAAGAAAGAAGAGGCATCAGTGCTGTAAGTATTGACTCTGTATATGAATGTAAGTGAAAAACACTTTTTAGAATCCACCCATCTTTGTGGGGTAGAAACAATAAGAGGACAAGAATATATATTGGTTTTAAAATCAAATAATTTCCTCAAAATTCAAGGAAATACAACCTGTCAGTCTGTAAAATCCTAATGTGATGTTTGAGCTCACTTTACTTCATTAGAAATGGCCAATATTAAGATTTTATTAACTTTCAGAATGCTTTTTCAAACACATTTGGCTTATTTATACTGCCAGTATAGATCCAACAATCCTAGATCTGAGGTGTTTACTTTATACCTGTTGCCTCTTTACTGCTCTTCCTGGCAGCTGAGCACTTTTCAAAAGTCAGAGTCTCACTATGCCTACAGAAATTTCTGAGCATGCCCTGCAAAAGTGGCAACTTGATCCTTCAATTATACCCTGGAAGGTGAATCTGTGTATTGAAACACAAAAACAGAGCAGACAGCTGATTGAAACGGATGGCGCGTCTCCAGGCTGGTGCAGAACAAAGTATCAGAGAGATCCATCATCCTTATATTAGTATACGGTAGCAGGTGGCTAAAATGTTTGTTGGTATTTTCATAGGAACAAGGTTAATTAATGCATCCATATCTTTAACCCTTTATAGGACAAGTTGGCGTTTTTGATCACTTGAATATCCCTTACAAATGGAGTGTCCCCCCCCCGAACCCCAGTGAGGTCTAGAAGCACAAGATCTATATCCAGCCATTCAGCAAAGATCTTTTTTTTTTGGCATTTGACCAATTAGATGAGCCTTTGAAGGATATATTAACTACTGTAAATTCAGTTGGGGGAAAAAGTTGACAAGTCAAGAAAAAAAAGGTAAAAAGCTAATTAAAAATTTAAAAAGTAAAGTTAAAAATGTATTAAAAAATGTAAGTGCCAGTATAAATTTCCTATAGAAGCACTTTTGTTATTTTTCCCAATATATTCTGGCAAGTTGGTGTTTCTTGTTATTACATTGACATTAATTTTTGCCATCAAAATATCCACATTTTTTGAATGTTACGAAGGTAATAAGGTCTTGTCCTGGATTCCAATATGTATTTTACCTTGTGCCCTATATACGGTATTTTTTCTGCCTCTGTGATTCATACATCAGAGTAAAGCCTAATAAGCATTAAAGTCTTCCTGAAAAGGTGTTGGCATGAAGAAAAATAAAAATGATTATAGGTGAGAAAAAAATGCAAAAAAGTAATCATCAATAAAGTGTTAAAACATTTACCGGTAGGTAATATTATGGTTTTAACCTTGCAAGCTGGCTTTTGACTGATGTTAAATGTGTAGAAGTTGTTAAAAACCATTAATTCAACAATAAAACAACATTAAACACCAAACAGTTGAAGCTGTGTGGATTAAGTGTTGAAATATAAACTATTTTTGAGTTGTATGTCTGATAAATATTTTTACAAACATGCCTTTTAAAGTTCATATTTAAATGTCGAATCATTCTGGCTTAAATATGTATATAAATGTACTCTTTATCAGGAGATATTGTCCCATAATGTTAAAAATTTCTATAAAAAAAAAAATCCTGTCTTAAAATCTGTGTTGTTGTTTTTTTGTTGTTGTTGTTATCTTCTGCAGGCCAGTTAGTGATATGTCAGCTTGAACACCTAAATTCGGCCAATCATATATCAACGGCCGTCTGTCAATCAAATTTTTTCGGTCATAGCATCTTGATTCATATGTCGCAACTAATATACGTTTACATGCAACATCTGACGTATAACTAACTGGCCTGCATAAGATAATGAAACAAAAAAATAGATTTCAAGACAGGATTTTTTTTTTTTTTATATATATATATATAGAAATTTTCTCAATTTTGGGACGATATAGTCTGATAAAGAATACATTTATATACATGTTTAAGCCAGAATGATTTCACTAGGACTTTAATATTTCTGTGTTAAAATGTTTAAAAGAAGAACTTAAGATATTTTAAAACATTCTCTATTTGTAAAATTTAGCTCAAAATCATTATTGATTTAATGTTAGCAAAGTCACCTATATTGAGAAACGTTAGAGAATACCTTTGCTATTTCAATTGATTAGATTCACAGAATGTAAATAAAATTCAACCTTTATCCAAAGCCAGCAACTGATCAAAATGCCAGCTGGGTTTCTAGATAACACCTGAAACATTTAAACTATTATTTTTATTTGATCGTTTAAAGGGATGCTACAGTAAAGAGACTCGGGGGTAAGATTAGTTTAGGCCTCAGCATAAATATAAAGTTACCTTTGACTTGGTGTTGAAGTAGGACATTTCTTTGGGCTCATTCCGTCGCGGTGGGATGTAGCTAAATGCTGAGAGGTTAGCCAACGGTTTGGTTTGGACATCTGAGAATAAATCCATCCGAACCGAACCACCCCAACACATTAACCCTCAGTAGCTGTCTCGCTAATGTAAATGGGTTATAAGAGAGAGAAAGAGTGAGAATTTAGCCTGGGGAAGCTAGCGTCTGCGGTTGCTAGGAAACGGGCTTCCAATCTACGTCGTATCGGTGCTGCTTTCAGGGGCTCATTTTTTGAATCGGAAATTTTGGCTTCAATGGCATAGTTTGCTATAACCTTGAGGAAATGATTTCAATAACCCTTGGAGGCGGTTTTAGGGGATATTTAGGGCAATTTTTTATGGGGGTACAGAACA